GTCTCTCTCTATCTCAGAATCTCTCCCTCCCTCTCCTGTCTTTCTCATCTCCGTCTGCATGGAACAGCAAGTTGACATGTTTTCTTTTTTCTCTGTTTTCCACATCACGCAGAGCTGAACAACAATATGAACTCCCATACCAGTCCTGTGGAGAGTTGACATAGCAGTTGTGGATGTTGGTTTTGCCAGCGTAACTGTTATTTCAACAATGAAGGTGCAAGTAAATGAAAAGACAAGCAGAGACGTGGGGATGTTTCCGGACATTAAACATCTCACTGTGGCGCAGTGATCTGGAATTTTTTAAAATCCTGCATGAATCGATATTTTTGGTAATAAAATGGCCTGTTGAATTTAAATGTCAAACTCTTTGACATTTGAATCACGTGGCAGAAAATTTTAAAAAAAGCAGCACTTCTATCTCCAGTGGAGACACAGGTTAAATTATTAGGTGGGGCTGAGAAAGACAACAGCTATGTTCTCTAACTAAATGCTGTACGTTAACGGTTAACTGTAGTTTTGGGGATAATCAAGAGAAATCAAAAATCATCATCACCTCAAAATCTATAATACATGCATCCATTCTCTTCCTCTTATCCTTTTTCAGGGTCGCGGCCGGGCTGGAGGGGGCTTAGGCTGAGGGGCAGGGTGCACACTGGACAGCTCACCAGTCTGTTGCAGGGCTAACACATAGAGACAGACAACCATTCACACTCACATTCACACCTATGGACAATTTAGAATGACCTATTAATCTAACCCCACTAACTGCATCTTTGGACTGTGGGAGGAAGCGGAGAGAACCCAAGCAAACATCCAACATCCAGGCAGATATTAAAAAAACATTACTGCAGCAAGAAGTATTGCTGCAGTAATACAGGTTTAACGTGTTACTATAATCAAAGTACATACTTAGAAAGGATAAGAGTGTGACGGGTAAGTGCTAACAACATCAAGTACAGAAACAACCACATTATATTGCTAACACAAAGATAGCAAAGAACCCAGAAAGACGATAAAGCTGAGTTCATGCTAATCGCAGCCGAGCACCCAGACGCTGAACTTCAACAAAGGCATTGACGTACAGCCAGACTTCCATTCTCCATTTCTACCTGTGCATGTTTCTAAAGTAGAATCCCAATGGATTTAAAGTCTATTAGGGATGTTTTCATGTTGTGTTGTCAGCTTTCTTCTTATGTAAACCCTAAAAGAAAGCTCTACATTAGCAGAGAGATTTGTGTTGGTGTGTGGAACTGTAACCCAAGCTTTATATTATTAGCTGGTACTTACATGACGATGCATTTTAGGTCAATTTACGGAGTAACGAGAAAGTGATGTAACTAGTAGTGTAACAAATTACTTTCTCTTTAAGTAACATACTGCAAGAAAAGTAAGAAGTAGCATGTAATACATTACTTTTTTGGAATAATGACCCCAACACTGGCAAAGGCTGTGTTAATGATGTTAGTTTAGTTGGTTTTGTTTTCACAAGCATGGATGGCTCAGAGGCACTGAACCTCATGTTGTTGTTCTAATATGAATAGGAGGGTTAGCAACACTGCACTGACTTCATTATGAATGGAGGATGGTCAAGAAAGAGGTAGGGGATAGTTCTTAGTTTTATCCTCCCATAACAGCAATTACAGTGTAACAAGAAGTGCAAACAACTCCTCACCATCACCTTAAGTATATATGTCAGACCTTACAGAGACTTTCCTTTACACTGAAAAAAAAATACACAGTGTACATCCTAAAGTATTAGCTACATGTAGATCTTCGCTCAGAATTTTATCTTTTTAATATTGAGAAAATATTTCACGTAACAACTTATATCTACACTCTTTTGTTTAAACATGACTAGAATAGCCTTTTCTTGCATAAGCTTTCTTGTATTTTCTCTATTATGCCTTCACTATGCACAGATGCATTCTGGGTAAACATTAGCTAGAGGTAACGCAATAATTCATGTCTTATTGGCTCATGAATCTTGTCCCCTAGCCAAAGGCTGTGCACCATTCAGCATGAAGTTGGGTAATGGCTGAACAGCCTCCACATCGCTGTCCATTCAGGCCGGTGATGAAGTTTTATAAGGCTGCTTTAGTAGTCAGTCGTGGGAAACTGCCTTAATAACAACCACTATTTCAGTTGTTGGAATGCAAACATTGTGTGACTACTTAAAAAGGTCAATTCATTCAAATTACAATGTATTTATCACTTACAGCTCACGGGGACAATAAAACACCTTTTATATTATTACTATCAATCATGTCACTTTCTCTAGAGAAACAAAGATGTATGTCTTTTGTGGTTCTTCTTGTATTTGATTTGTTTGTTTGTTTGTTTGTTTTTTCACCCAACTTAGGACAAGAACTACCAAAACTAAAAATATATACGTAAAAATGTTAAAAGTATTATATGTCCTTTAAGCTGGCTCATACTGGAATGGATTCATTTGTCACACATCACTTTGAAGCCGATTGCCATTTGGTTGCCTAGGTAACCGATTCGGAGCTCTAATCAGCGGTATCCCGCGTTCTCATTGGTAGCAATTTCAGTCATTTTTGGCATTTTTATACCATGTCTGAATACCATAGTTAAAATGATTAACATTCAACACTAAAACACTTCTAAAGCGTTGGCAGGTTAACTACCCACAGAAAACCTTTTCTTGAGTGCTAGAAAATGATGTTTACTTTCCAGTAAACATCATTTTCCTCAAGAGGTTTTCCTCTAAACTTGTTGTTTTATATAATTTACAACAGCTTCACGAGTCATTTAAAAAATCGGATGCTTAAAAAACATGTGGGTTGTGCTGCTGTGTGTGCACGTGTACTTGTATTACCTCTACGCCATCATATTCCTGCTCCAGTGCTGTGCAGTACTGTGGCAGTCCCAGCTGACTCAACCATCGGGA